CAATTGGTAAACAGTTACCAATCAGTCACCAAGTAAATTCTATCAATGTATTTACCAAAACCACTTATTCTCACATTTGGCATTTATTTTGGCTCATGCCTTTAAAATATTGATTCACCAAACAAATACAGCTTTAGTTCATATTGTTTCTGCCTCATACTTGCTTTTGTTTCCTTCCTCTCCTTCTTTCTCATCCCCACCTCCCTCATTTTCGTAAAGGTCAAAGCTTTTAACAAAAAGAAACTGCTGCCTGTTTTTACTGCAAAGGGCAGGCAGGTTTTTAAATAGCAAGATTATTTAAATATTGTGCAAACAAAATGCAAATATTGAAGAAGGTAATTAGCTTGAGTTCACGATTCTCAAGGGGTACGTGGGGAGGGTTACTCTATATTTGGAGGCCATGAGATTAGTCCAAACTTTGTTAATGTTATTTAAATTTTGCTTTGAACGTATCACTCACTTGTTAATGGCAGAGTGTATGATTCTTCTTGCATGTTAACTGAGTACTTTTCTAAAAACCTCAGTTGAACCCACAGACCTTCATGGTTGAAAGGGGAATGAGGGATTTTTATGCAATAACATTTTATGTAGTTCAACTCTATGCTACGTTTGAGTGTCAAGATCAACCGATCACTTTTCCTGAAATCATCAGTATTCCATTAAACTCACAATGAGGCCAAGAGCTCATCTGAGAGTGCAAGTGTTCGTGTGTCAAAAGAAAGCATTGACGGGGTTTACTCAAAATACGTAACAAAGTTCTACGTGTTTTCTATGAAGTCGCTAGATAGTGGCTAGATCATTGAAAAAGAAAAGTCTCTATGATATTTTGGACTCTAGATATGGCTCTGGTCTCTCCTTCAGTATAAGTATATTGAATTTTTTTCGCCTACAAGTCGAAAATCATAAGTACTTTGAAAAGTAACGGTACATTCACACGGGGCGTCAACGCTTGACGGAGGGCGTGTCTGAAGCTTGGTGCTGACGCGATCGTCATAGTGATAACAGCCAATTACAGTGGACCGCAATTGGTTAGTGCCTGAGCTAGGCTATTTGCATAAGGCGATCTGATTGGCTGATGCCTAAAGTTGAGAAATGTTCAACTTCTGCCGTGACCAACGGCAGTAACGCGATGCCAACGGACCCACAATTCAGTTCAGCAACGCGTGACGTCACCCATTCAAAGTAAATGAGAAGTGTTAACGCCGATGCCCCATGTTAATGTACCTTAATAATCCACCTCTCCTCGACAAGATGACAGCATTCATGCTCATAGCACAAATGGGAGTATTACACCACCCGTTTAATACGTGGTTAGGGGTTTGTTCAGATCACCAACCCCTGTAAATGTTCGTACTTAAGATTGATCTGTGCACTCGGTAGTCTTCACAAGTGGATTTCTATTTTAATAGGACAAACACCAACCCATAGCACAGCGGCAGAGTAATACCCAATGGCGCTTTGATCTGCCTGTGTGTGTGTGTGTGTGTGTGTGTGTGTGTGTGTACGCCAGCCATATTAAGTGAGAACATCACACAGTTTCTGTCACTTGTAATTTACAAAGTTGTGTGTGATGTACACACAGAGTCTGGTGTTTCACCCTGCTGAATGTATCATTTGAGTCTTTGTGTGCTTGCTTGAAATTGTGTCTCCTTGTCACTTTCTTCTAGAAGCTCAGCGGGTGTGCATGCTATATGGAGCGTGTGCATTCAAGTGTGTACTCGTATATGTATATTTTAGTCTAAATATTAATAATAAGATTTCAGCCGAATGACACAGCCTCGGTGACAAATTAATTTAGAATTTTTTTCTCTGTCTTATTATATATGGTGTGACACCAACTCAGTGTACCCTCATTTATTAAGCAACAGGAAATGTTAGGACAGACAATGAATACAGGATATTCTTGGGAAACTGTGTCATTTATGCTAGCACGTTGCTAAGAATATTATTTAGTTATTAAATTATTTATTTATTACATTTGAAAAGGTTATTGCAGAACGGTGGAAATTCTCTTTCTCTCTCTCTCTCTCTCTCTCTCTCTCTCTCTCTCTATCTATCTATCTATCTATCTATCTATCTATCTTAGATAGATATGTTTAAATGTATAGTCAAATGTCTGTCTTATTTAATTTAATTGCACATTTGTTTTGTAATTTGTGCCACAAACAGTATTTCGCTATTTAAAAATTGATCACAATATTTTTTTAAGATGTCTGAAAATCAAACCATTATTTTTAAAGTCAGGAATGTCACAGCATAATGGAGTTAATCAGAAAGTGCAAGGACAAAGATAGATTCTGCAATTTTCAGAAAAGTGTTTAGAAAAAAATACACAGGCAATGAAAACACAAAATATTAATTTCAATAAAAGCAACATATTTTATTCTTTACAACCCATTAAAATGTCATGGTGATAAATGAGGGCCTGCAAATTGGATGATATTGTGAAAGACTGTGAAAAACATTTAAGAATAAAATTAATGCTTTATTTTAAAAGGTATTGCGCATTTGCACACTAAATCTTTCAAATAATAATGTTAAGTTCAGTATTCCGTTAATTGTATCAGTAAGTCATGGGGACACACAAAGCCCACAAATGGCAACATTTCCAGAGAATGAGCCAATATATCCTAATAAAACAGAATTTTTACTCTATAACTGCAACATCTACCTTTGAATTAAATGTTCTTGTGGATGTAATTGTTTATTGTTTGTTTTTCAGAGCTTCCTTATGGCTGGGAGAAAATCGATGACCCTGTTTATGGAACCTACTATGTTGAGTAAGTTCAAGCGCTTGAGTTAACACGCATGGTTTAATGGCACTTTGGATCCTTGTGTTTTCTCACAGCTCTGTATTAATTGGTTATATTGCTGCTGTGCCATGCCCAGGCCGAAAAACAGCTGCTCCGTTGTTTCCTAATTCAGTTCGCAGTGTGTGTGCGAGTGTGTGCCATCATTTTTCTTGCTTAATGCACAGTCTGGGGTGAGGTGGGACTATTTATAATATGGCTCGCTTGGCTACTCTTCCTCCCAGGACAGAGGAGAACAGCAAGCCCAGAGCCAATAATGCAGCTGTAGTATCATGTGAATACATAACTGCACACTCTTTCAAACTGCATCATAAATGCAGGACTGCATCCATGCCTGCTGTCCTCAGATGGCTCAGATGGGATTCTGGCACTTCACGTCACTGAACTGAAATCATACTGTAACAGTCTATCTACCAACCTGCTTTGGGTTGTTGTGGGTTTGTCGTTTTAATGATTTATTTCATTTTTTACTATCTATCTATCTATCTATCTATTAGTGCTGGGCGGTTAACACGCATGGTTTAATGGCACTTTGGATCCTTGTGTTTTCTCACAGCTCTGTATTAATTGGTTATATTGCTGCTGTGCCATGCCCAGGCCGAAAAACAGCTGCTCCGTTGTTTCCTAATTCAGTTTGCAGTGTGTTTGCATGTGTGCCATCATTTTTCTTGCTTAATGCACAGTCTGGGGTGAGGTGGGACTATTTATAATATGGCTCGCTTGGCTACTCTTCCTCCCAGGACAGAGGAGAACAGCAAGCCCAGAGCCAATAATGCAGCTGTAGTATCATGTGAATACATAACTGCACACTCTTTCAAACTGCATCATAAATGCAGGACTGCATCCATGCCTGCTGTCCTCAGATGGCTCAGATGGGATTCTGGCACTTCACGTCACTGAACTGAAATCATACTGTAACAGTCTATCTACCAACCTGCTTTGGGTTGTTGTGGGTTTGTCGTTTTAATGATTTATTTCATTTTTTACTATCTATCTATCTATCTATCTATTAGTGCTGGGCGGTATACCGATTCATACCGAATACCGGTGTTTATTTTTGTTATGATATTAAAATACCGCAATACGTATATGTCCTATATATGTCCTAGCGACTTTACCTAGATTAACGACTGAAGATTAGCGACTTTTTTGGATTAACCTTAGCTATGGTTCAGTTGGAAGATTTCGCCAGTGCTGTCCCGCGAACGCGATGTCTGACTTTCCCGGAGAAGTGTCACCTCTCTCGGCGTCTGTTCTGTGCAGTGAGCGGCAGAGAAGCAGCGCATTCAGTTGGCCGCACCGCAGCCGACTCGTCAATAAATGAGTGCAAAACAGCGTTTCCTAGTCCCTGTCGCTTACTGATTGTTTGGAATTATAAATATGAGCGTAGTTCGTCTGTTAATATCACATGCACTTTTTTGTTTGTTGTTTTTTTTAGTTTGTTACTCAGTGACAGAGACAGTGCGCTGCATGAGATAAAAAAGTAATATAGCCAAAACAACCGCATAGCTGCTCTTTAGTGTAGATGCATGTTGATTTTATCAGACGATGCCACGATTATAAATGAGAGTGACTCCTGGTTAACATGTATTAAAAGGGGTCGTGTTTAGTCACTATTTAGTGTGGTATTTTTTGACAATATTCACTCATCGTGACAGTAAAATAGGGCATTCTAAGTCAATATACTGCAGTATTTCCTCTCTCAATCAGAAGAAAACATGGTTAACACCCGGTCATGCATGGGAAAAAAATATAACGTCATGTACTGTGAAACCGGTATAATTTTGAAAAATACCGTGATATAAATTTTTGGTCATACCGCCCAGCACTATCTATCTATCTATCTGTCCATCCATCCACCCATCCAATGCATTTATTATTAGTAATTTTTTATTTTTTTTTTTATCTACAAAACGTAGTGTACACTCTTTTCTTTTGTCTTTGTATGTAAAGGGAGAAAAACACATCTTCAGTAGTAATTGTACAACTGTGGGTTTTATGTTGTGGAAGATGACAGCTGGAAGATCAGAAGCTGCATCTGGTGTGACATGACTGTAATTTACTATAAATCTGTGCCTAGTGGCTTTTTAGAGGAGACACTTAACAAGAACACTATGCATAAAGCTTATCATTTGTATTTGTGTTGTATTTTCAGGTTAAACAGTCATCACTTTATCCTTACAGCCGTTATTTAATTGGACCAAGCCAGAACCACTTCCAAGGCTGGTTTCCACTTTGCCAAACCTTGGCCTAATGTGCTACAAGAAAGTATGGAACTGAACTCAGATAAAGTACTAGGGACAAAATCCATTTGCTCATTATACTTTGATCTGTTGAATCAATTTCAGGCTTTAGACCTTAAAAGAAATCTAAAACCAATGTCTCAAAAATTGACCTTGTGGAGTCTTGGCACAAAGCTGTAATTACAAATGCCACGTCTTTACAAAAAACAATACCTCTTTTCAAAAGAATGCCTTTTAATGGAGCCTAATTGTCTTTGTACTCTCAAATGGCACGGTTTTCAGCAGCGCCTTTTAAAACAGATTGAATTAACTCTGACAGCAAGTGTTGTACAAAGAGTCAAAAGAACCATTTTTCTTCCAGATCAGAGGATGCTCTCATTACTGTCTGATCTCATTCTTACATCACTCTTTTAACAAAGATGAGGACTAACTAGGCTTATGTTTGACTCAATGACCACCGCCTTAAATGATTTGTTAAAGGGTATTAAAATCAACACTCATGCTTTCATCTATAGTGCATAACATTAATGGCTCATGTCAATTTTTGTTTGCTGGGTGGTGAATTGTTGGGAGGGCAAAATAATTTGCATTGACCAACCATGAGTAATGATACTGCAGGTTTTTGCAGAAGTTCAAAGTGTACATAACAAGGAACCAGCATCATATATACTGTACATATATACAAGTTATTATTAATGTTAATGGAATATTCTAGAATGCATATGCAAGCTCAGTTAAATAATTAATAATTAATCAATGATGGCAGATGAAATCAATAGTGTGGATTATAAAAAGTTTTCATTCAATATAAATTCTTTAAAAAAAAAAGTTAATATTAAATATTCATAACACAGTAGGCTGACGATTACACTGTAGTAGTGTATGCATTTACCAAATAATTTTCCAATGTCAACAATTTTTGTGCAGTTTATTGTAATTTTAATACATTTAAAGGCTATATTTGTTTTTTGTTTGTTTGTGTGTGTTTTTTGCAAGACAAACTATTTGACTAGAGTTATCATTCACCACGTGGTGTCCAATGTAACATCTTTGTCCTGAAGCAAAATCAGTTGAGTTACAGTATCGTTAATAGGGCTGGGTAAAAGTTATTGATTTCTTGATTGTAATCGATTCTTAAATCCCAAGAAATCTTGCCTGTTTTCAATTATTGAACAGAACACTGTAGCGCTCCTCCCATCTAAATAAGTCACAATGAGCTTTGTGCTTTGTTACTTCTGATATGAAACAAAGGGCCAGTTTTATTAACAAGCAGATTGGCATGAGAGCGCAATTCCAAAACAGCGCCGATGGGAGGGGAAATTTCTGCAGGTGATTTACTAACAATGCGCAAATTAAAGAACACAGATGCAACATCTCATTTACATATCGACCAACGGAATATACCAAGCACAGCGCAAATTAGCGTAGTCGCAAATAAAGAATAAAGAAGCCACAGTACGTTGAAAAGAACCGGAGGCCAAAAAATTAAGGTTTGCTAGAAGCTTTGATAGACCTGGTATTGTGTGACTCCTAGATGAGGGTTCCAAGTTGTCTTTTATTTCCTGAAGCAAATTAAAAATAGCATGGCTTGGCAAACGATATGCTCGTATAATGTGTTCTTCTGGCATTGAAAATAAATTAATGCGTGTGGGAAAAATCCTCTCCCTTCTACCACGCACTCTCTGTTCTCTGTGGTGCCTCCTAGCAACAATAATTGCAATTTCAAGTGCAAAATAGTTTGCTAGACATGCTTTTTTTGGGTTAAATAATGGCGCAAATGCCAGTAATTTGACGAGCACAAACGTTAGTAGAACACGTTGCGTGATTCATTTTAATTCTCTCCTCCCATAACTTTTGCGTTTAAAAGGGAAACTCCTACAAATGCATGTTGAATAAGGTTAGGCGCAAAAATAACTGTGTCCACGCCTTTTTAGCGCTAATTCTTCACTGTGCATTTTTAGTAAAGCCTGACAGTACTATTTTAACGCCAAAAGACGGTTTGCGCTGGCGCAAGCTGTTAGTAAAACTGGCCGAAAGTCTCAGATTTCAAATTCTGTCCATTTTATTACAGTATTTAGACAATAAATACTGTTTTGGCGCTCTTTAATATGGAGTGACAGATCGCTGTAGCACCTTAAGAGAAGCGGCAGCGCGAAACGCACGTGAACTGATCATCTCCTCTGTTTTAATACCAGTTTCAGCACGAAATAAACATGAATGAACATCCCGACGCTATGATAAAAGAAAGAGTACAATTTACTGAAATCCGTATCCTGTCTCATGTAATCGCTCAATCAGTGTTTCAACTGCGGAAAGATGCCAATATAACAGCTTGTAAACAATGTCACGTAACGTCATGTTTACCTCCGAAAAAAACATACATATTTGTGATCATAAAGTCATTATTCAGCTAGAGAAATGGGGCCTCATATATAAAGTGTGTGTACACACAGATTTGATCTTTGAGTGTGTGTGTGCTTAAATCCACATCAACGCTCATATTTATAAAAAACTGCCTTTGACGTAGAAAAGTGCTTGGCGTCACGTCAGGGTCTGAGTAGACGTACACACTTTTTCTTGTCAGAGTACTGCAGGTTTTTGGAAATGTAAGCTGTTCTTGCAGCTTGCTGTTCTAAATTGAAGGATTTGGATGATGACTGGTGATCTTTTGTATGTTAATGACATTAATTGTGAGTTGCTTACAAGGCAGAGTGCTGAAACCATTCAGTTGTGAGCAAGTTCAAGATCATTTGCAATTCTTAGATTTCAGATCTGAAAGAGAGGCATACGTGCGTTTTCATGTGTACGTTCATTCTATGAATTACACGTATGCATATTTGAGAGATTATCGCAAGATCAAATTTAGGATGGTTTCTGTGCAACATTTTATAAATGAGGCCCATGAACTCTATAGAGAATAATTTTATGAATATATGCACCATATAACAGATTCATTATAATTTTTACTGTTCTTCTATGTTTAATTTATGTAGTATGAATAAATCCATCAAGTTTTTATGTACATTTAAAAAATGAAGATCTGGCATGTACTGTACCTAAAATATCCGAGATAATCGATATCAAATCGAATTGAATCAGAAATCGAATCAAATTGCAAGCTTGTGAATCAGAATAGAATCGAATCATGAAATTTGTGTTAAAACCCAGCCCTAATCGTTAGCATATTGTTAGCTGGAATTCACTACACAAAATTTGCCCATATTTCTGCCCCAATTTTCAATTTGGACAATGTCAACACTAGTTGTCGAAAGTCAGAGCCAGTCTACAGATATTGGGCAGTTGGAGGTGACAGATTTCACAGAAAATTGTGCAGTCAGTGGCAGGCACGTTAGAATCAATTGAGAGTCGAGTCTCCCATGCACTTCGCATAATAATCATTGTCTATTTGGTGTTCATAGCTGCTGCCTATGTAGAGTGTTGCAGATCAGTTACTTCAGTTAAAATGCTACCTGTGTAGGCAGTAGACAGCAAGGCAGCTAGCTAGATTGCTTATATATTGGATAAGCATGTCTTATTATGTAGTCACTCAAGAAATGCACTTGAATGAGTCTCTGTTTCTGGTTTTCTGATTGCAGTCACATAAACCGAAGGACTCAGTTTGAGAATCCAGTTCTAGAGGCCAAGAGAAGATTGCAACAGCAGCAGCAGATGCAGAGCCAGGGCTTGTCCTCTCTCCCCCTACCTACAGTCTACAGAGGTAAAGTGTTATTGATATCCAATATTGATATCCACAAATTAACAGTGTGGTACTAATGCAAATCTATGCAAATCTGATTAAACCATCATGGTGTTTCCAACCACCCTAGCTTAGGCACACACCGAAGACATCTAAATAACACTTATCTGCTCTCCATGCAATGACATGTTTAACATCAAATCTGCTGAAACTGTTGATTGAGGTTTGATATTCATGACTATTAATATATTTCTCCTGTGAGCTCTGTGTCTGTCTCTATAGTAACACAGCAAAGCTCAGACATTGTCTTTGGTAGTGCACCATCTGTGTGTGAACTTATTGTTCAGAATATTACTTCCTTACAGCCATACCTTTGGTATGACTTCACCCAAGAATGAAAACTCTGTCAATATTTACTTGCACTCATGTTTTTCCAAAACTAACTGACTTTCTTGGAACACAAAACAAGAAATTTTAAAGAACTTGTCTTTTTTCTGTGCTCTTACAATGAATGCTAACTGAATTTAAAGCATCTTTTGAAGATGCAAAAGCATCTAATATCAAATATCAAAAAGTATCCATAGGATTTTATATATCAGCAAAGCCAGTTTTCTGTAAAAGTCATTATTCCCTGAATATATTCCCCTCGGATGAGCTGTTAACCACTGTGACTGGATCATTGAGTCAGTAAACTGAAGCTGAGAACCAAATCAGTCTGATTTGTTGACAAATCATTCTAACTGCTTCTTTTAACCTGATCATCTGATTTATTGGCAACGTTTATTTGTAGATTGCACATAACTGATTCTCTCAAGAACTTTCATGACTGTACCAAGCAAGTCATGTGGACTGATCTTATATTTTCACAATACTGTTGCATGCTTTTTGAAGTTCGAAAGCTATAATCTCCATTCTTTGTAATTGCTTGGGAAAAAACAGCCAATACATAATTCAAAATTTCTTCTTTTTTGTTCCATTAAAGAAAAAAAGTCATTCAGGTTTGGACAGACATGAGGGGGAGTAAATAATGGCAGAATTTTCATTTTTGCATAAACTAATCCTCTAAATCTACCTGTACAGTCTATTCGAGCTAAGCTTGAATGCTTCCTGTTTTCTTTGAGACTCAGTTATCCATTGAGAATGTGTTTCCTTTCATAATATGACCTTGGCCTGATTATGGTTAGAAGCGTTTCTTGCAATAATTCCTGTTTAAATTAATCCATTCAGCATGGTCATGCTGTTACCCACATAAAGGTAAGAGGCAGAGTATGTTCAGCCAGAATGGCGGAAACAAGAAGAACTTTCTCTACCTTGTTTCAGTCCATCTTTCAGAGAGAGCATGCTGCACTGAAAACCTCCAACATGCCTACACTATATGGCCAAAGTATTACATGTGGGCATCTGAACACCACATATGTGACTGAGACACATTTAATGTCATAGCCATTAACAAGTAGTTGATCCTCCCTAACAGCTCTCACTCTTCTAGAAACACTAGATTTTAAACCATGTCTGTAGGGATTTGCTCCCATGTAGACACAATAGCGTCAGTGAATGTCAGTAGCTGTGTTTCCATTACAGATTTGCGCAAAAACTTTTGCCTTATTTTATAAATATCAATAAAAACTATTGCAAAATGACAGCATTTCCATTAACCAATGTTTTGCGACTTAAACGTTTTTTGTTTTTTTTCTCTCACGGTAAGTCATGGTGATGGAAGGGATTATCCACGCAAGGAAAGCCCCTTATACTTGAGAGCGGCCACGTATAAGGTGTTTCTTGGAGGTTATAGTACGTTAAATAATGATCATGCGATTTTACGTATGTCAGGTGACCTGTAATTGCGAAAAAAAAACTGTTTATATTGCAGTATTGTGAAATATTCCTTTTTCGAATTGCCTGAAAAACCACCTCATGTGAGCTTAAAAACTTTTTTGCGATATATGGGAGTTTTCGCAAAATTGACGTGTTTCCATTGGGCATACTTTCAATTCACAATTTCAATTTGCGCAATTTGAATGGTAATGGAAACGCAGCTTGTGTTCATCCCAGTGGTGTTCAATAGGAGATCAGGTTTGGTCTTTGTGCAGGCCAATCAAGTTCTCCCATTCCAGATTCATGTATATGTGGACTTACGTAGTCATTCTGGAGCAGAAAAGATGCGATTTTACGTATGTCAGGTGACCTGTAATTGCGAAAAAAAAAACTGTTTATATTGCAGTATTGTGAAATATTCCTTTTTCGAATTGCCTGAAAAACCACCTCATGTGAGCTTAAAAACTTTTTTGCGATATATGGGAGTTTTCGCAAAATTGACGTGTTTCCATTGGGCATACTTTCAATTCACAATTTCAATTTGCGCAATTTGAATGGTAATGGAAACGCAGCTTGTGTTCATCCCAGTGGTGTTCAATAGGAGATCAGGTTTGGTCTTTGTGCAGGCCAATCAAGTTCTCCCATTCCAGATTCATGTATATGTGGACTTACGTAGTCATTCTGGAGCAGAAAAGGACCCTTCACAAAATTGGAAGTACTGTATACTGCTACTGTTGTTTTCATTAGACCCCTAGTCAAAGTGGCTCATTTAAAGAGGGTGTCCACATACTGTTGGCAATGTAGTGTCTGATCTTGTGTCCAAAAGAGAGAGGTTCAGTAGCTTAATATTTTAGTATAAATAGACCATAGAGGACTTGGAAAGCATATGCTTGATCTGGGTGTTCAGTCTCTCAGATGCTCAGATGTTAAATGTAGACCAATTCAGAGTGTACTACTTTAATCTACAGGAAAGCTTCGTCCTTCATTAGGTGATCAACCCTTGTGACAACCACAATTTGCCAAGTTCCTGGCTCAATATCCTTTGTTTGCCCTGGAACCGGTCCTAAACCCAACCCTTACCATAACCACCCCCATAAACAAAAGGAAAATGATAGGATGGTAATGTTCTTGAAGCTTCAACCCTATCCTTAACCTTAAAATCCAATTGTTAGGAACATTGTTCCAGGACCAGCAAGAATGTTTAACTTGGCAAACTCACCCTGGATTTCCTGTTGAAATGCAACTATTTTATGTTCATAGTAGGCCAACTTTGTATCTTTTAATACCATTTATGGATTTGCTGTGTGAGTTGAGGCTCCAACTCCAGCCCTGGGCCTAGCTCTAAACCTAGTTCTAAAATCAGAGTGTTGGGAAAGTTGTTCCAGGTTCAACCACCCCCATAAACAAAAGGAAAATGATAGGATGGTAATGTTCTTGAAGCTTCAACCCTATCCTTAACCTTAAAATCCAATTGTTAGGAACATTGTTCCAGGACCAACAAGAATGTTTAACTTGGCAAAATCGCCCAAGAACTCTTGTTGAAATGTAAATCTTCTATGTCCATAGTAGACCAACCTTGTATCCTTCAATGACATTTCTTGATTTCCTGTGTGAGTTGAGGGTTTTTCTTCTCTGTAACAGTGGAGGAGAGCTCCTCCTCTGCCACCTTACCCAGGGCCAGACTGGCATACGTGGGTCCCGCTCCCGAGCGCTCTCACAGTCTCACTGACCTGTCCGAGGCCCCCCTGTACCGGGCCGGTGTGTTTGGACTGCATGGTACGTCCCTAGACCGGCGCCCCCTTGTGCAAGATAGGACTTCAGCAGGAGTCTATTTGCCTGGCCTATTTTTGCATAGTTCTCAAAGGAACATTCTCTCAGTTTCTAAACCACTGAAGACTTTTTGTTGGCTTTTTCTTTTTTTGGGGGACCAACAAGAATGTTTAACTTGGCAAAATCGCCCAAGAACTCTTGTTGAAATGTAAATCTTCTATGTCCATAGTAGACCAACCTTGTATCCTTCAATGACATTTCTTGATTTCCTGTGTGAGTTGAGGGTTTTTCTTCTCTGTAACAGTGGAGGAGAGCTCCTCCTCTGCCACCTTACCCAGGGCCAGACTGGCATACGTGGGTCCCGCTCCCGAGCGCTCTCACAGTCTCACTGACCTGTCCGAGGCCCCCCTGTACCGGGCCGGTGTGTTTGGACTGCATGGTACGTCCCTAGACCGGCGCCCCCTTGTGCAAGATAGGACTTCAGCAGATAGGACTTCAACTTGCTATTTTTGCATAGTTCTCAAAGGAACATTCTCTCAGTTTCTAAACCACTGAAGACTTTTTGTTGGCTTTTTCTTTTTGGGGGGTTTTTGTATTTTAATTTTTGCCTGTGCTTCCAGGATACTCGTGAGTCCACCTACCCTGCTGAACAGACCAGTATAACTGGTCGCCATCACATGTTCGGCATGCTTTATAAAAAATGCCTACTGATTCACATGGTCAATTATCTAGTAGAGGATGGTCGCCAAGTAACCAACAACATCTAACTAGTCAATTAATGCCGGCCGACTAGTCTGATTTTTTATCTGGATTTTTTTCCTTTAGCATTCAGTTTTAGCTTTAATATTTAATACTTTTAAGATTGAAGTTCTATTAGAATTAAGTTTAATATAATGATCTATTCATAATTTGGGGTTTATGTCATATATTTTAAAAGCACTATACACAGATCTATGCTTACTGACTGTTAGTGCTCTAAAACTGTCTCTGAAGATGTCACACAAACACTAAGACCTCTTTTCAAGATCCAATCAACTCCCGATAGACAAAATCAAGTCCTGCTCTTGGGTTGTGAATGCTGTTTTATGTTGACTTTAAGATCATCCAGACAGCCTAACAACTAACATCCCCATTATGTATATTAACAAACAAAGCTACTTTGGTCAACCAGCTGTGCCAGATGTTTTGCTGGTGCTTGTCCACCAGCTGGACCAGCACCAAACAAACATGGATCAGCATGGAAATTCATGCTTGTCTTTCAGCAGGGTATCTGGACCAGCTATTGTCCCTAACAAACGCATGGCAGAAACTGCTAAAGGACTAGACTTGGCCAAGATAGTGCTTAAAAATACTTAAGAACCTCTCAACTAGGAAAGCGAGATGGAGTGACTATGGCATCTTGTAACTCCATACTATGTACTGAAGTAGGCATCTCTTCAGTTTCGAAGAAGCAGCACTTCAGTACAAAAGTCCTTGTTGGTGTGTGGTTACAGCGAAACGGCTTCTCCAGAACGTTTTTCAAGACTGCTCTTCTCCGCTCTGAGAGAGCAGAAGAACCGCTCTGCCTGTGCTGGTTCTTCTCCTGGCTTTTTTTTGCTTAAGTCTTGGCTGTCCCGAGAGACGGCCCTGGACAAGGCTAAACACTGTTGAGTGTAACATTGGAGTACGTTTAAAGAGCCAAAAGTGAGGTTTGAGCAAAAAACAAGCCATCGTGTTCCACTCTGTTCTTGTATGTTTGGCTGCAAGCAGAGCGCTTGGCCTTCTACCCACAATTCCCCAGTGTGATGTGATCTGCTGCTTTTGATGGGTTTGGAGTGGCTTTTACAAAATAACCCATTCATTTCTGGAAATCTTCTGCTTGATTACAATCTCATGTTTCTATCTGCATTTCTTCACCCTGGCAGAAAAGCCTCTGTTCACACGGGACCCCACGCAGCTGAAGGGCAGCTTTCTGTCTTCAGCCCTGCAGAAAAGCAACATGGGATTTGGCTTCACTATCATCGGGGGTGACGAACCAGATGAGTTCCTACAGGTCAAAAGTGTCATACCGGATGGACCTGCTGCACAGGATGGGAAAATGGCTACAGGTAAACACACATACACTTGCAGGTCGATGTTTGAACGGCCCTAATGTGCTATTCACACTCAAACAAAGCTTCCAGCTGGGCCACTCTTTCTCAGTCTCAGTAGTGCCCACACTACTGCTGAGGTTGCGGTGTGAATCTGTCATTTTATTGGTTGATAGTGTGTTAGGGACATCCAGGGGTTAAGAGCATTTACGGACAGTGTATTTATTGACTTTGTGTGTCATCCACAGCAGGGCATGTGTCCATTAATCACAGAGGTGCTTTATGAACCCTGTTACTCCAGTCCAACCTAGTTGGAGTGTGACTGCGGCAGCATTACTCACACACATACATCAGCATTGAAATATCTCCTACATTCAGAGGGACCCACTGTGCAGCATTCAGAACATAGTCAATGCGTCTCCCATGATGCCGTTTTATTGTATTATTGTTGTTGTTAGTTGTGGAAATTATCCTTTCTGCTCCTTTCATCTCCTTTCTGCTCCTCTCTTCCACCCTTCATGCTCCCTCTGGACTCCTTGTCCTACTTATGCTGTTTTGCAGTCATACGCACACGCAGACAGTGCTGTGGAGGAGCTTCAGGTTACGCCAGTGTGAAATATTCAATTTTGCTGGATTAGGGAGCTCGGAGAGGAAATCGAACACAGACACAAACGTCCTTTATATGGACATACATACAGAACACGACCATCACTGTTGTTGGGGAATATTACTTTTGAAAACCCTATGTAATTAAAATTTGAGTTGTGTTGATTTTAGTCAACGTGTGTTAGCTTTGAGGCTAATCTGTGTGCTAATTTACTCCGAAATTAGTTTTTAGCCAAGAACAACTTGACAAAAATATTAATGATTTATCCGATCCAATCAGATGGACCCTAGAATGAGAATGAAATACAGACTATTTTTGGTATGTTCTACATAAACTTCCTTTTTTAGCAGGACATCCGAATAATCAACACAATAAGCGATTCCATATCATTTGCACTTATTTATCACTATTTACAGAGCAAGTAGGGATGGGTTTGGTTCATTTTGTTGTGGCTACGACATATGAAATCATGGAACCTGACAATATGTAAAGGGCACAAGATATTATTTTGAGACCACAAAAGATAATAAAAATCCTTATTTAATAAGTAAACAGACCTGCATGACCACAGCATTCAGGGAATATTAGAAATGCAGGTCATTTTTTTTTCATCTAACGCTCACATAATGTTAATCTTTAAAACCATTAGTAATATAAAAATTATTATTATTATTATACTGTATTTGAATACTGTACATTACAATCTAGAATAAATTGGCTCACAACATTTAAATATTATTGATTTTAGTTATAGTGTTTTATTTTTAATTTATTTAGGCAAAATTGTTTAACATTTGTCAGTTATTAACCATAACAGAAAGATAATTATTGGTTATTTGTTACTAATTTTGAATGTACACTATTATACGCGATTTTCTAATAATTTGAGCTATTCATTAGGGATGTTTGCTAAGCCAAGTCTCACTGTCATACAGTATTACTCATATTTTGTGATTATGTAACATAATCATAATTAAAAAAAACATTACTTCAATACTAACCACCACAAATAATCATAACTGTTTAACACCTCATCCACAAATTAACATTAATGTGACGTAAACATGCCACATATCCCTCTCTCTCTTGTCCTCCCGACTAGGTGTTTTCTTGATAAATTAAAACTATCATGCAGAGTGCTGGGATTTGCTGCGTGTCATGCTTCAATTCCTGTGTCTAAGAGCCCTGCCACCCGCCCCATCCACGTCCACTATAGATGCCTCTGCGGTGCTGATGTTTACTCTGCCCCTCACAGCTGTGCCCGAGTCCTCTCATAAAGAACTTAACAAGCAGATAATGAGTTGAATCAGGTGCACCAGTGTGCTGCAGAGGGACAGGAAGCACACAAGTCATATGCCTGCTGGAGGATCTCTGTATTTGATGTTTAGAGCTTTATTTGTATAGAATGTCTATTGTGGCTCAGCAGAGATGTTTAGGGGATTGTGTATTGATTGTGTTTGTTTAGAATGCCAGTCACAGAGCAGTGCTCCTCTGGGTTTCCATGCATGCACAGACATAAGATGTCTCAGACGTTTGCTCCCAGAGCACCTCTTATGTTGTCTCATTGTCATTAGTTTTACACAGCCCCTCTTTCTCTTCAGAACAAGACTGTAGTTCAGAGTGTATTGTTTTTTTTTAGTTAATATATATTTGATACAGCATTATATATTGATACATTTCATATTTAATAAGTTTAATAGATAAAATATTTTTTATATTGCAATTTAATTTTTCTACATGGAAAAAAAAAATCTTAGTGTCAAAACAATTTCAGTGAAATATTGAAATTTCATGACATAGAAGAATAGTTATATAAAGTATAATTTCAGCCCAGTAAAATTTAAACATGTTTAATGTAAGAACTACAATAGTAGTAGTAAAAATGTTTGTCCCGCTGATTGTTATTAAATGAAGAAGAAAAATATTTAAGAATTTAAATTTTAATATAACAATAAGTAGCAATAAACAAAACAAAATATCCTCAAATAATAATTATATCTACTACATGAAAAAATGCTGCGCAAGGGCCATTTGAATGAATAATTCGATTAATTGAAACTGACCATATGAATTAAACTTACTGTACATTTTTGCTATTAATATTTAAATCAGACACACTATTAATACATCTCTATTTAAATGCTCTCATACTAGTCACATAAAAGGTGATAGCTATAACCCAAGCCTTAGTTTGAAGTTTATTTACACAATTTTAGTGGCTCTTATTGTCCAGTGTCATCATTAAAAGGAAGCAGAACATAATATGGGAGTTGTTGAATCTTGAATTTTCGAATTTGAATTTTAAGTGGATGATAATGTCTCGTTTGTGGGAGTGCAGTGATCTGGTTTGCCCTGTGGAGCTTCGGCCCAGATTGATGCTGACATAAAGCTAGGTGTGAAACAGCGAGGTCACACCGATATCATTTGCTCTCTGGAAGCATGTGAAATTATTGATTGGAACACCAGAGGCTCTAGGCAAATGTCGAACGTATTTACTGAGATTAATTAAAATTCCTGCACACAACACACAAGAGTCAGGAGGGGACAAGCCTATCGATAGACGCATACGGCACTGCATGAAATATCTCCAGGAAACCTGTAGCACAACAGACACACCGGGTGAGACCCCGTGATCATTTTTATCCCACAAATGAATTCGCCACATTTGCTGGAATATTGAGCATCGTCTCATTTCCATAATAATTGCATTTCTGATATTTAATTCTTTGTCAGCATTCAAAGATGGAGGGCAAAGCCTATATTTGGCCCGAAACATACTCTACGCAAATGTAAACGCAAGCTCAATTTCACATTCTGGCATGAGTGAACAAACATTGGAAGGACTGGTAAACTTCTTGATAGTTGAAGATCACAATTAAGTCCTGAGGTATGGCGATACTGCAGGATTGAGAAAAGGATTGAGTAGGTCCATCAAATTGTTCCTTCAACTGGTGTGCTGTAATTGTCACAGTTGCCAGGGGAGACGACATGAATAAATATTGGATGACTCCAATTGTTGCAAATTGGGGGAAAGTTTTTCATCCTGATTAGACAGACTGTTCTTATTGGGTAAAATGTATTTTTCCCCTCAATAGCTCTGTTCCAAAAACTAGAGCCGTTTTGCTGTCAGTTTTCTTTTTCGTCGGGCAAAACGATTGATTTGGAACATTCTTCACAGGCAGTGAGCCACACAAATGGTGCTTTTCATGTGAAGCACACAGGAGATTTGACTCCTCTAGTTAAACAATCTTAAAGGAATACTAATGGTGTTTAATCATAAGTTGGAACCAATCCTAAACAGCCCAAATGAGATAAGGTTCAAAAATAAGTTTCCAAATAAGAATGGAAAAAATCTAATGAATAAACTTACCATTTTCTGAGAGAAAAAAATTCCTAAAAATGTTTTATTTCAGTGTATCCAGCTGGATCTTAAAGGACTGTTAGGGTTAACATTCTTAAAGGGTTCGTATTCTTAGTAAGCTTGGTTCCAAATTATGATAAAAACTTTGCTAGCATTTCAGTTGATTGCTATTTCCATTGTCAAAATATATAGTTTAATTTTAGCATGTTGCTAAGCTAATGACTTAGCACTCTCATAAGCATAACAATACACAGCACACACTAATATTGGAGCATATTGTCAAAATATTTAGTTTAATATTAGCATGTTGCTAAGCTAATGGCTCCACATTCTCATTGGCACAAAAATACACAGAACTTACCCTATGAAAATTAACCATGGTTTCATTGTCGTAAAAGTGTAGTAACCATGGTTCTTTGGCGTATTGTTTACCATTTGTATAACCACAGTTTTACTACAAATACCATGGTTAAACTATGGTTAGTGCAGAAAAACCATGGTTAATTTGTGGTTACCATGGTTTAGCTATAGTAACCATGGTTTTATCTGTAAACCCATGGTTAATTTTCGTAAGGGTTAGCATTCATAAGCACAAAAATGCACACAAATAATGAACGCATAGTTGATTTGTAATTATTATTTGTAATGAACTTGTATCAGTACTTTTCTTAACTGAATCAAATATAAGAATCAACTATTTTTTGACCCGTCCACCATCTTGGATCCATTTTATCACTGTGCTCATTGCAATGCTTCCTGGGAATGTGGTATCTTGTAAAGAAGTGTAATTATGTTTAAGGTAAGTATGCCTACCGTTTGAATCAGCCTTGGCTTCTGGTCCATATATATACCTACCAAAGTTGCTAATATATCTTTTATTTGTGTGTAATTGTTTTCCAGGAGACGTCATTGTCTACATTAATAACGTCTGCGTCCTGGGCACCACCCACACTGACGTTGTGAAGCTTTTCCAGTCGGTGCCAATCGGACAAAGCGTAACCCTCGTCCTTTGCAGGGGTTACCCTCTTCCGTACGACCCGGAGGACGCAGCCAGCACTTTGCTGTCCCCCCTCGGCCTAATTGATCGCCCTCTGCTGGTCAACGGACGGAATAGCTATGACAGCTACATGGAGTACATCTCCCGCACTGCTCGCTTTGTCGACCCAATGCAAGCGATGTTGGCGCAGCCCCACCCTGGAGACACCCACCTGGATGCAGGACCGCTGGAGGACTGCGTCTCAATGGCGTCTTCAGGAGCGGCCGGAGGAGAGCTGTTAACAGTTACCATGGTGAAAGGGGCGGATGGATTTGGATTCACCATAGCAGACTGTAATGGAGGACAGCGGGTGAAGCAGATTCTGGAGGCGCAGGGATGCCCGGGGCTGTGCGAGGGCGATCTGATTGTGGAAATTAACCAGCAATCCGCGCTAATGCTATCACACACACAGGTGGTGGAGCTGCTAAAAGAGTGTCCTGTTAGGGCGGAGGCCACGCTGGTTGTGCAGAGAGGAGGGACAGGTAAGGAGGCTTTTAAATGTTTTTGGGTTTTGTGTGTATTTTCATGACCTAAAATATGGAAAAGCCCCTTAATTGGTCGAATAGTCCATCTTGCCCTTCTTAGCAGTTTTATAATTCACTCCTCGGCTTTCTCAAAGCGCCAAGTCACGCTGAAGAAGAAGCTGTTTCTGCTTTCTATGACCTTCGCTGTGCAGAAAAGCACTGTGAGTAAAAATAGTCTCTGACACATAATTAGAGTAGTGTACAAACATGCATACGCACTACCTGTGTGCTCAGTATATTTATATCCTGCATTCTGTACAAGAACTGTTGCATAACTCGCTTTCACAAACACACACACGTAAAATTCACAAACCTCATATTTAAAGACTCTCTGAAATCAATTTTGGAGTTTTGCACATCTGTTAGCACTGAGACTAATTTATATGCTAGTGTATGCCTGTTGCTTGGCCAAATTTTGCAAGTGAAATCAGTCATTTTAATAGTAATCAGCACAATAAGGAGTTTTGCATAAGGGCAAAAAAGTTCCCCACGCAGATTTTACTCATGTTTAAACTGGTCGGTCAAATCTGCAGTGCTAACCAACAAAAAGCTGCTTGGTGACTTTGGTGTGCTTTATGCATTACTATGTTATTGGATTTTTGGCCCTCAAAATTTTTCCTAAATTTCCGTATATATGACCACACCTCAGTGAAACAGACCAAGGGCAAAAGGCTACTGGCTATTGACTCCTTGGATATGTCCTACTTGCAATCCAGGAAAGAAAACAGCAGTCATCAAGCCATTTCATTGGCTTTAAAGGTAGCTGAAATCCAAATTATTCCCAAAACGGATGCCAAACAGCTATTTAAAGCTTCACGTGTTGCATTTTGCAGTAATGCACTTTCCAGCACACAAGCACTTCCTACACTCACTCACATACGCCGTGTCCCAGACACCTACACGGTCTCACATACAAATTATGGTTTGCTGGTTCAGTGTCTTGCTCTCAAGGGGCAGTGAATCAATACTGATTATTTTACAGTGCTGTTGATTATTGCTAGTGATAACTTGTTTCTCACCTGAGACTGATTTTAGATTCTCCCCAATTAATCAAGCAGTTGACTTTTCTCAGATTACTTCAGGTATTCCATAAAAAAGCCAGCTCTGCAGTCATTTTCAATATATCACTGATTCTTGAGACCTGGGACAAAACAAATGTATCTGCTATTAGTTTTGAAAATAGTGATATTTTGCCAATTTACATGATTACTAGAATGTTCTTTTATTTGTTCCTTTATTATATAATTTAATCAAATTTTATTTTATTTTTTTCTCTTCCCCTAAAGTCAACTGCCCTCAGACCATAACTCAATACTTCATAAATATATATACTTAAATTATATATTAAAGTATAGATTAATAAAAATGCTTTTTTTTGTATAATAAACACTACTGACAAAAGATTAATTTTAGAAATTACACTTCTTCTTTTGGTTTTCACAGATGTGTCTCTACTTTTGTGAGACTGAAAGATATATGATTTTTTTTTTTATTAAATCCGGCAGTATCAAAGTCATCCCTCACCCTAAAGTCTTATTTTCATTATTTTTAAATAAACAAGGTCATACAGACGCTGGTGGGTTATATAGTTTTTGTTTTATCATTTTAGATATAACTTTCTTTTCTTTCTTTCAGCTACGCTGAAAATGTGTTCGAAACCATTCGGTGGTATTCATGTATTCATTCACTGAAGTTAATTCTAGATTTGTCTGTATTCATATTAAGTATTTGACATATTGTAATATCTCACAGCAATATGGGTTGACTGGTGGGGAAAAAAAAACATTTGTGAGAAAATGGATGTTGAAACCAAATTTAAGTCACTATCTCTGAACATATTTAGTTGATGAATAAAATTTAATTCTATGACACATCTTTTTTTTTTTTTAGTATAGCCTGTTTTGTCTGTTTTAGTACTCAAGAATCGGCGTATGCGTACAGCCTGTCCAGCATGTCAGAGCCCAGAAAGCATATAATTTGATCTCTAATTGCAGTTGGAAGCACTCACAGTTGTTTTTTTTAGGCCTGCGGTTTTAGACCCAGATTAATTGTGAGTCATTCATAGGAAAAGAAAAGGCAGTAAAAGCCGATCCACATGCACATGTCTATACTGTAGAAAAGCAGCTCATTCGAAACATTTTAGTATTGAATACAAAAAAGCCCTTCAATGGCTTTAGCTCTAACTGACACCTTGACTAGGAACATATAAGCCTTTTTTAAAAGCAGCTTGAGCCAGTGTGATTTATGACCCGTAGCAATCAGAGTGTCTGATATAACCCAGAGAGAAAGGGAGAAGGAAAGTGAGGGAATATATAGATTAAAGATTCAGGACAGAGAGGGAAGGTATAGAGATCTTAATCATCAAAGCAGTTAAATAATATTACACAGTCCGAAATGCATCATAGCATTAAATAAAGAGCAATCTCCTATTAGGACTTTTTAAACAGCATTTTCAGAACACCTGTCAAAATAAAAGTACGGTTTAACATGCAACAGAAATATATTACTCTTGTATTACTTTTGTAAAGTATAATGTACATCTTTAAATATTCCATTTTCTATCAAATTTAAATAAAACAATTAAATGATAAAAAAATTAATATTACAACCAGATTAATCACTTAATTGTAGAAAAAAATAGTATTAGCCTATTAAAAAAAATGTTTTAAAGGAATATTCACACAATTTTTCTTGCATGTATTAATTTCAACAGTAAACATCAGTTTGTTTGTCAAAAAATAAAAGGGTTTAATTTTCATTTGATTTAAAATAAATGTCTAATGCCTTCATTTGGTTTTCAGAAAAATTAAAACAAGAAAAAAAGGGAAAAAAAGAAAGAAAGAAACCGTTTGTAGGGCCCTATTGTTCAAAATGTTGAAATTGAGACTTTTGGACTTATTTTTTTCACTGAAATAAATGTTTTTGTAATTACACAGAGAGTAAAGTACTGAAATTCAGGTACCGATACCGGTACCATACCGGTTAAAATGTGAACGGTACCCAACCCTAACCATGATACATACATATTTTAACATATTATCTTCATGTTACAGTAATGAGAATGAGACACTGTATTTTGCAACTCTAAGGTTTAGACTGTCTGTTTACAGTAATTAGAACTGGAGAAATAAAATGAGTTCGATTTTCAATATAATGTTATAATTCATCCCTGAGGGGTAATCACAAGAAAATGTGAAAGATAAGGTGAAGAAGAGAAAGATCTAGAGAGCTATTTTGAGAGCTTATGTGAAGTATGTCTATCCTCTGTGTCAGTGCAGGTCAAAGGTTAACGAGAGAGACATTAAATCCTCGTTAAGCCCCAGTGATCAGTATGGTGGATTACAGCCTCTATGCGCTTCACATACAGTGTGAAGCACAATTGCACTCCAAAGCACACATGCATATTTATGGTAGGAGCATTTCTAGTATTGTGCTAATTATACTGATTCCAAAAGGTATTGGGAAATTTAATGAACATTTAAAAACTTATAAATGTAATTGCATTATATAACAAATTATACTTTGAAATTGTTTGACTAAAAACATTTAACATTTCACATATGTTTTACCAAAATACCAAAAACCTTGACAAAGGGAATTGCAAAAATGAATGTGTTTTGAGGAAAATCTCTAGCGTTTTTTATTTCCTGACTACACTTTGTTTTATAGTTTACCTAATGCAGTGACACTGAGATATGTTTAAGTGTGACTTAAGTGCCCAAATATTTTTGTTACTACTGTATATTCATAGTTGAACAGTATTTTTTAAATTATTATTCTGTTTAGTTTTGTCTAGGCTATCAATGTTAGTTTTAGTTTTAGTTTGTTTATAGTTTTAGTTTATTTAGTTTTCATGTTTTATTATAGGACTGCCAAAGTTAATGCACAATGTGTATAATTTAAAGAAAAAAAATTTCTCAGCACAATCTAGAGTTGTTGCTGTCTACTGGCAGTTGTTTTCACAGGCAGATTATAAAACATTTCTAGTTTCATAATGTGCCACCAAAAACTAAAAATAACATGTGGTCATTTTTATTTTATTTATGTGGTATTTTATTTTATTTATTTCATTACGATTTTAATTTTATTATTCTAGTTAATTGTTTTTTATTATTTTATTTTATTTTATTTAGTTTTTATTATTTTATTTTATTTTATTTGTTAATGCTTCTTCAGGAGTTTTAGTTCATAGCTCAGAGCTCTACAATTATCTCGAGTGCCATATTTGAAATGAATGGGGAAAATACCTTTGGAACCCAGGCTGCTCCAGAAGTGGGCATTCAGCTCTTTTGTCAGTCAGTTTGTTTGGACCAGTAAGGGGTACAGAGGTCACCTTGATTAATCCCAAACTCTTTGGAGTAAATTACAGTAAGGTTATTTGTATTCATTCCTTTGATGTGGTATGATTTGTGCCTCACCAAAGTGAAGTGTAATGAAACTACATTCTGTTAAATGGCCATGTGTGTTTGCAAGGCCACTGACCCACAACCAGGGTGCATGTTTTGTTTCGTGTCCATGTGGGTAGACCACCAACAGAGTCAGCGTGCTTGAAGGTCATTATGGTCACTTGAATATGAATTTGGCCTCATGTCCCATACATCAAAAATCTGTCCCATTCTTATCCTCGTCATATTCAGACAGACTTCACAGTGAGCCCTGAAACACTAAACCGCCTGTAGCATCACGCTACCACTCGAGTTTAACATCCGTCTGTTCAGACATGCCGTGAATGACATAAGGAGGACACAAGGCGATTTGCACAAACCAACAGTTTCTGTCAAGCCAAGTCGCAGGGTCAGTTTTATTCAATGTTGCTTCCATCTGTATTTATCTGCACCTCTTCATTTCTTCCGTCCTTTTGATGCAGCATATGCCAAGACTTCTGAAGCCATACAACTACTTTATGTGAGGAAAAAATTTCAGTATTCACTAAACATCTTAACATCCGAGTTTATGAG